CAGTTTGTATCGGATCTGTATTGAAGCGGCGGCACGCCGGCGCGCATACGTTTTTCACCCATAGGACCACGTCAAGGTCCGTAAGGGAGTCCAATGGAGTTCCAGGATTTGTTTTTTTTTCTCGGTTGCTGGTTGCTGTTGCTGTTGCTGGGGGGGGTCAGAAAAGCGTCCACGGGGCTCTGAGCGCAGCCTTCGCAATAAGGCGAGGGCGGGTCCGGACGGCTAGAGCTCACGGGGCTCTCACGCGCGCCTTTTCCTTGCTTTTGTTATTGTTGCTGTTTTTGTTGTTGTTGTTGCTGTTGAATCTTATTACTTCTAAAGAATAATTATTGTTGGGCCCCCTGGTGCACGCCCCCCTCGCCGCGCCTAGGCCGCAGCCACATTTTCATAATTTTCGTGAGGAAGTCTCAGGCAAAACGGGGGAGTCCGGATCCGGTTGTTTTGTTGACGCCCGCTTTCCCTGTCAAAAAACAATATAAAATGACATGTCTTGTTCTAACATAACCAAACTTCAAGAATCCTTTGCAAAAAATGACACGAAGTGCACACTCGCGCGCGCAAGATGAAATCCTTCCAAAACCTTAGTTTTCGTAGCGATTTTAACATAAAAACATGAAAAACCCAATGGTTTTTCAAAACAAAAGTTTCAAAAATTCATCCCGCGCGCTCTTGCGGATTTCTTAGGAAACCCAATACTTTTTCAACATTTCTGTCAAACGGGCTCTTGCGAGCAACTTTTTCACGTGCTTCGAACTTCTGCAACAACGGTTGCGCGCCTGCCAGGGCCATCATCCCTGTCAAATAATACCATATGGGACACATTCGTTTTTTCTTCGCGCGCGCACGCCGAAATCTTCAATTGCAGGGGGAAAAGTCGTATACTAAGCTAGCTTACAGAAAATGTTACCACAACAAGTCATTGTACCCATGCGCCAGTGTAGTAGCCAAGGTCGTCCGCAGGCCACGAAGTGAGGTGTCCGAACGTCATAGGGCGGGAAGCTGGGTGTGGGTGGTGGCGAAGAGTCGTTTGGAAATTTGGTAGAGCTTGAACCGGCCCCCCCACAAAGTGGGGGTATTGCCCGCCTCCTATGAAAACCCTGGCACTGGTGAGAACGGAGTGTCCCCACGTGCTAGTAATTGTTGTTGTTGTTGTTGTTGTCGTTGTCGTTGTCGTTGTCGTTGCCGTTGTTGTTGTTGATTCATTTCTCAAGAGCCACTATTGTTGATCCACCCGTCGGGTAACCATTGTACGTTTCTATTACAGTGCTCCTCCCCGGGCTCGCACCCTGCTTCTTTACATGGGAGAGCGAGGGGTCACCAAGCCTCGCGCTTGGCCCCCCGCTTGCAACAACAGCAGCCCCCGCCTGATTCTCCCTCACATGGATTCCCAAATCGTGATCTCGCGCGGGACGTCCTCACAATGGGTGCAGAAATCACGCTGTCGCGTGGGGCTTCCTCGCCATGTATTTTGACGCCGCGCCCTCGGCACTCAGGAATCCCGCTGTCGCTGTGGATGTCATCACGCTTTTTTTTGGGGGGAAACGCGCTATCGCTCGAGATGTATTTGCGATTCATGCAGGAGGCACGCTTCAGAAACCCGCTTGCTCGACCTGGCCGCCTGGGCCCGCCTGTCCGACCCGCCCGTTAAGGTTTAAGCGCCCGATCTGCCCGTCTGGTTCTCCCACTTGTTCTCTACTCCCTCTCAATTTGCTCCATGCTCCTCCCTCCCCCTTGTTCCGTCCTTCCATTCGTCCTCTTTTCCCTTGCCGTAGGGTTGCACGAAATACATGTTGCAGATATGAAGACATATACCCCTAGAGGGTTGCGATGGAAGACGAAACGTGCGGGTACCGAGGGTTTGCGATCTACGTGTTGAATGGCCCGCGATCAGACAAGAGCGAACAGTCTTAAAAGTGTTGTTGTTGGTTGTGGTGGTGTTGTTAGTGGTGCTGTTGTTCTTATTGTTGATGGTGTGGTTGTTGCTGTTATGTTTGTTTTTGTTGTTTGCTGCTTGTTGCTTGTTGTTTGTTGTCGTCGTCCCGCCTGGGTCAGGCGCCTCCTGGATGAAACGGGAGCCTCGGGGGGGCTCGAGGTGCCATCTTGGTAGCAAAGGCTTGCAATGTCAGTTCGTATTCCCCCTCTTAGGCTTTCATGGAGCCCTCTTAGAGTCCTCCAGGGGCGTTTTGGGAAGCCTCTGGGGCTGTCTTTGGGCCCTCTTGGGCCGGCTTTGGTGCCGCCTTGGAGGCATCATGGGCCGTCTTGGGACGCTCTTGGGGGCAATTTGGGTTGTCGTGTTCGCTGTCAGCACGTAGACTGCGAATGTGCTGAACATGTTCGTTGTTCCAAGGCGAAAGGATGATTTTGGCATCTCGGGGCCCTCTCGGCCATCGCCCCGTGGGCCATCTTGAAGCCATCTTGGATCATCTTGGGGCTACCTTGGGCCGTCATGACGCTCTCTTCGACTGTCTTGGCGCTCTGTCTGGTACCCGTTGGGCTCCCTGTTGGCCTCCGAAGGCCTCGGGGGTGCGTTGAGGAGCTCGCCCCCCCCCTAGAATGGCAGAGTGGCATGTTGGACCCCACGGGAGGGGGTAAAGGGGGGGGGGGGACAGTCAAGGAGGCTCCCACACGCCTGCTCATCCCGGGCAAGCGGGGGTCGGCGGATTCCTATGGAATCCGGTTTAGAGTTGCGCTTGGTCCATCCTGCTCTGGGTTATCAAAGGTCTCTCTCACTCGGGCCTGGCAGCCTTTCGTCGCTCTCTTGACGACCTCCCAGGAGTTGTTTTCTAGGAGGAGGAGGAGGAGGAGGAGCAGGAGCAGGAGGAGGAGGAGTTGTTTTCGAGGAGGAGGAGGAGGAGGAGGAGGAGGTGGAGGAGGGAACCTCTCAGAGGCGGAGGCGCCGGCGCCGCCCGAGAGCCGCCTCGCTCTCGCCCAGGCGTGCGTGCTGGCACTGCGCGTGTGCGTCGGCCTCTCGGCGGCGACGCGCACGCTCAGAGCTCTTGCAGCACACGCTCCGTGCTGGGCGCGCTGGTGCCCTGCCGTGCAGGGAGCGCCCCGCTATACCGTCGAGTTATGTCTATGTTCGGGTCGGGCGCGCGCCTTCCGCATGCGGTGGAGGCCCCTGCCACGAGACGCCCTGCCTGCCTCCAGGGTGCCCTGGGAGTTTCTCGGTTTTCGATGGCTTTGCGACTCCAGGCGCGACGTTCCCGCGCCCGAAATCATTGGGCGTCCTGGGGTCTCGGGGTGGGGCTCCTTGTGGAAGGTCTCTTGTGGTCGGGCCCCTACTGCATGTCCCAAGACGCCCAGGAGCTCGACGACGACCCTGCGGAGGGCGGCGGCGCCGCCGCCGAAGCGCCTGTCGCTGCCACGGCGCCCGCCGCGCCCTCCGCTGCGGACCCGCGCCGCCCCCGCCTGGCGGACCAGGGGCAACGTGGGGAGTGCTTCCCGAGTGGTTTTGGGTCCTCGTCGCTCCGAAGAGACCGCACCCCGCGTCCGGCCTCACTCCTCCTCCTCTCCTCCTCCCCCTCCTCTGGCATCGCTCGGACGTGTGCATTTGTCCTCGGCGAGGGCCATCGAGGAGCATCCTCGATCATCTGGCGACAAAACCACGCACGAAACCGACAACAAAAACACAGGGAATGGACGTCCGAGCGATGGCGAGCTTCTCCCATCTCTTCCTCTGCCATCCCAAATGGCTCCGTCTCGGCACGCCCCTCACACGCTCCGCGGCCCCATGAGGAGCGCAGCCGAAGGCCCCAGCGAGGGTCCGCGTGCGGCCCACCGCCCCTCCGGCACACACGCTCGCACGCGTCGTGGCCCCACAGAGAGCTCCACCCAAGGCCCCCCCAGCGGCACAGTCCGCATACGTTCCCCCGCTCATGTCGGCCCACCCCTTACACGTTTCGTGCCCCCGTAGGGAGCTCTACCAAAGGCCCCAGTGGAACAGTCCGCATGCGCTCGCGCCCCCCAGCGGCACAGTCCGCATGCGTCCCCCCCGCCCAGCTCGGCGCCCCCCTCTCACGCTTCGCGCCTCCATAGGGAGCTTCACCCCCGCATGCGTCCGTCCGCCAGTTCCGGCACACCCCTCACACTCACACGCTTCGTGTCCCTATAGGGACCTCCACCCAGGGCCCAGTGGCACAGCTTGCATGCGTCCGCCCGCATACTGCGGGACTCCCCTCACCCGTTGTCCCTATGTGGAGTTCCACCCAAGGCCGCAGTGGCACAGTCCGTACGTGTCCACCTCGCCCTTTCGGCGCACCCGTCTCACGCCTCGTGGCCCCAGGGCCCCGTCCAGCCAGGGCACTAGTGGCACAGTCCGCATACGTCCGCCCGCATATTTCGGCACACCCCTTGCACGTTTCGTGGCCCCATCGGGATGTCCACCCCAGGCCCCAGTGCCAACGTCCGCATGGTGTTGGGGCAGCGTGGCTCCTTCTCAAGGAGCCTCTCGTGCCGCTGCTGCTTCTCTTCCCCGCTGGTGCAGACCGCCGGATTTAAGTGGTGTCGCAGGGTCTGATTCACATCTGCACGTGGTTGGGTCTTTCGCCAGGAAGGCGTGACATCTGGCTCTCGAGAGGTGGTCAACGTTTTGCAAGGCTGCTGAAGTCGTCGACGCCCAGGGTGGCTTCCATCGGCTGCGCCTCATTCTTGGCATCGCTCGGACGTGTGCGTTTGTTTCCTCGGCGAGGACCATCGAGGAGCATCCTGGATCATTTGGCGACAAAGCCACGCACGAAACCGAACAAAAGCACACGGAGTGGACGTCCGAGCGATGGCGAGCATTGATCAGAGCGTGAATTACCTACCCCACTTTCGCTTCCAGGCAAAACCAAGCCATACCACGCGCCTCCTCGTCAAGCGGCCTGACCAGTACGGGCTGCAATTTGGCGTCGTTTGGTATCTCTTGGAAGCGAGGGTGGTCAAAAGCGAGGTAGGTTTGTTTTCCCCCTAATTGAGAGTGTTCCCTGGGCTGCCGGGATCGTGCCGAGCAGCCGTCCGAGGCCCGAGGTCGAGAAAATGGGCATCCCCGCGCCGTGGCCACAGGTTTTCTCGGCCTCGGGGGGTGCCCCGCCTGGGAGGAGGAGGGCAGGCCTCCTCCTCCTCCTCCTCCTCCTCCTCCTCCTCCTCCCCCTCCTCCTCCTCCTCCTCCTCCTCCTCCTCCTCCTCCTCCTCCTCCTCCTCCTCCTCCTGCTGGGTGATCCGCGGGTCTCTCCGCACCTCTCACCGCCACGTCCCGCCCGTGGCATCGGTCGGATTCAGGCATACTTGTGTTCTGTGGGCGTCGTTTCCCGAGTGGCGAGGCGTAGACTGAAATACATCGCATATTGCGAGCATCGTCGCGGGCGTGATCTGGGCATGCCAACGATGTACCGTGTGGCGTTTTTACGATATGTTCTGGGCAGACGTCCGCCTCCAAAGGCGAGCCCACAGTTCTAGTACCTGGTACCCGTCGCTTGTTGACAGTAGGTGTTGTTGGATTCCAATATCGCGATCTTCTTTAGGCGCCTTCTTTCTTCAAGAGTCGAGCGGTGTTTCCCTCTTCCCTTCTCTTCGGGGCGCGGGCGGAAACCCAGTCTACCCCCAACATATTCCTACTTCATGCTTCTACCCATTTCTGCCGACCGACGGGTACGTCGTTATGCGTCCCATGACATCCTCGCGTCGTGAGACAATAGGGGTGGTGTGGCACACTTGACGCCATCGCGCCGCGAATAAGGGTCACAACGGGAGGTTTTTTAGTAGCAGAGTTTGGCCGCCCAGGGCCTCTGCCGGCTCCGGGGCTTTCAGAAGACCACTCGGGATGATAATCAGGAGGGGAAACAACACAGACACAATGGGAACATATGGGAACATGTGGGAAGGGGGGGAAGACGACAATCCACGAAATATGTGAACATATGGGGGATCCTGTTATTTGTGTGTATTTTTTTGTGTGTCCCAGGGCCCTTCTCCTATATTTTCTGGGTTCTTGTCCTTCCCTCCACTTCCCATATTTTCCCATATTTTCTGGGAATTGACGATTAATTGTGTCTGTGTGTTTTCTCCCCTCCCGATAGAAGCCGGTCGATGGGGGGGAAGGGAGAGCGAGAGGAGGCGGGGAGGGAGGGAGTAGTAGGAGGAAGTGCCTGTGCGGGGTCGCCTGCTGCTGCCCAGCTTCGGAGGGGCAGCAGCGATGCCAACACCACCAGGGGGCCCACCTCCAGCGAGGAGGTCCACAGTGCCTCCCCGAGCGGGAGGCCGGGGATGTCTCGAGCGAGAGGGGGGCGGGGCCACACCACCAGGGAGACCCCTCTTGCCTCCGCGCATCTCCTCGCCCTTGTGAGTGCCGCTTCCTTGTTCCTACAGCTCGCCTCGCTGCCATGCTTCGTGTCCACGCCCAGCGTGCTGATGCATGCTGCACGAAGGCCTCGTCGCATGAGTTGTTGTCTGCTGGCATCGTCTTGTTTTCACGCCGCAGAGACGCGTCGGTTCCATCCGAACCTTGTCCGGCAAACGTCGAGAACGAAGGAAAGCGAGGTTGTCGATACGAGTCGAGGGGGAAGGGCAGAAGTGCCTTTGCCGTCGCCGTGCCGCGCCAGCAACACACCGCCTCTCTCCCTGCTCGTCGGCGCGTGTCATCTTTATCCGCCTGGCTGCGGCAAATCCGCCGTGCCAGCGAAGCACTTGTGTTGTGAGCATTCATGCACCGTCCAGAAGGCTGTCACATGTGGCACCTCTCATCTCCACTTTGGTATGGTGGGGCATGCGGCACTCTGTGATGATGAGGGGGTTCCTTAGAAGACCTGCAGAAACTTTACCAGACATCGCTTGGAATTCTGCGGCGCCTCGTCGTAGAGCATAGTCATCATCACGTCATTCTCAGACAGTGCAGGGGGGGGGAACACACAGAAACAGCACGTCATCGAAGGAGGGGGGGCGTTTTGGTGCCCGAAGGGGGTCTCGAGGTTCCTTGGGTCTTCCCTGGGGCTTCCTCCTGAGGTTCTGTGTGCACCTGCGGCGAGCCCCCCCGACAGAAAACGAAACAACTGACAGACGAGCATCGGGAGGGAAAGAAACACACAGACACAATGAATCGTCGACTCCCCGGAAAATGCAGGAAACTATGGGAAGTGGGGGGAAGACATGTGAGGAAATATGGGGGATCCGGTTCTTTGTGCTTCTTTGTTTGTATGTCCCTGGGCCCCTTCAGAGCACCTGGCCGGCTGCACCCGCCCTCGGCCGCTCTGCACGGCCGCCCCTGTGAGCACGCTCGGGCGCCCGCGCTCCTCCCCCTCGGTGCCCCGCCAGGACGCGCGAGCCGCGCCGGCGGCCGCTCCGCCGGCGGCGGCGGGGCCCGGGGAAGGCTTCACGTACAGGAGCGCGCCGCGGCGCACCCTAAAACGACGCGAAGATCTGGACAAAATCGGATCGGGATAACTCGAAATCTCTGAGGATCGGCGGGTTCGGAGGATGTATTGGGCGCCGCGGCCGCTCCAGAGCGTTCCGGAACGCTCTGAGAGCGCTCCGGAACGCTCTGGAGCGATTTGTCCCGATCCCAGCCCTGTTTTACACCCGGTGGCGTGCCGGCCCTGGGCCTCCAGCGTGCTGAGATCGCCACGGAGCGGCACAGTCCAAGAATCGGGGGAACGCAAGACCCGGGTTTGCCAGGACTCGGGTTCGCCATCGTTTTTTGACGACCGCGCCTCGGATTTTGACGAGGAGGAGTTTCGTGGGATGTCTGCAGCGGGAGGCCTCGTCAAAATGCAGGCTCGGCCTCGTCATTTTTTTGACGACCTCGTCGGGGATTTCCGAGTCCCCCGTACCCGGGTCTTACGTCTCCCCGAAAGAAGGCGCACAGATAAGAAGGTGTTAGGAGGGAACTCCTGGAGGCCCAGCGCGGAGCGCAGCAGTAGTCTTATCTAGGCCACACGTCAGCTCCGTGAGCTAGGGGTCGACGCTCGTGCGGCGATGCTCCAGAGTCAGTCCGACGTGCATCCGACGTAATTCGAACCCGACGTAAATCCGACGTGGATCCGACGTAAATCGGGTCTCCAGTTGCCGCGCGAGGCCTCCAGGATTTCCTTCTCATAAAAATTGGATACGGAGTCAGCCAGCAGTTCTTGCCCATTTGGGGCAGGGCTCGTCGTCGGTGTCGCCGCGGGGTGTGGTCCATCTGGCACGCAAGGTCGCCTGCCAGGCAGCTGGCGCCGTCTGTTTTGGGCAGCATTCCCTAGTGGTCATCGTGCCCGTGTTTTCCGTGCACATGTCGGGCGTACAAGATACAGCAGATGGGTTTTGGGTGGAGCGGGTCTTGGAATCTTGCTCGCCGTTTCTGGCCACTCCCGGGCCCCTGGACCATCAGAGCACGACTCTCTGGGGGAAGGCCACCGTAGGACGGGGCTAGGACGAGGATGAATCCGTTCCAGAGCGTTCTGGGACGCTCTCACAGCGTTCCGGAACGTTCTCAGAAGGCCGCGGCGCTCGATACAACCTCCGGAGCCGCTGGATCTCAGGGATTCACGATGTACCCTCACCCAATTTTTATCCTCGCCCTGGCTTCGTCGCACACTGGGTCCAGGACCCGTAACTATCCCGTTGGTCGCCCTGGGAGGCGCGAAGGTAATCACTCAGGAGGGGAAAAACCACACAAACACAATTGATCGTCTACTCCCAGGGAAAAATGGGAAAATGTGGGAAGTGGGGGAGAAGACGAGAATCCCAAAAATCTGAGAAATTATGGGGAATCCTGTGAATCTGTGTCCCTGGGCCCCATCAATCACGCTTCACTCGTCGCGGGCCGGGCCACAGCGGCTGCCATTCTCTGAGGCTGGGGGGCGGGGCGGAGGGGGGCGCGCGGGCGCGAAGAGACGTGGCCGCGCGTCGCGCATCGCGGGTCCCGATGATGCGCGAAGTGACGCGGCCTGGTCCGTATTGCATGTTTCAGCGGCGAGCGAGGGGGGGAAGTGAGAAGGAGAAGGCCTTCTCAGAAGGCGGCGGGACCTCTCAGAAGCCCTGGCGCTTTCTGAGAGTTTCTCGTGCTGGGCCTCCGAGGAAGGCCGAGGAGGCTTCTCAGGAGGTCGGGCGACCTCCGAACCTTCTGAGGAGGGGCCGTCTCCTTGTCACCTGCCCCCCCCCCTCGCTCGCCGCCGACGTGCTGCCTGTTGGAGACAAGCAGCACGGAGGCTCCCCGCCGCTCTTGGTCTGCCTCCCGAGGGGGGGGGCCCCCGCCGGGGCCCGCGCCCGCCAGAGGGCACCGCGCTCGGGTGCACGGGCCGGCTCCCGCGGGAGAGGGGTCGGCGGGCTGCCGGGGGGGGGTCCCGTGCCGAAGAAGCTGACGGTAGGTTTGCGTCGTTCAGAGCCCCGAATCATCAGGGATAACTCGGGTCAGGGCTAACTCGGGTTCGTTTTTCGGGATTCCGAACCCGAGTTATCCCGGACCCGAGTTACCCCGGATAACTCGGGCGTCCAGAGCCCCAAAATCATCAGGGGTAACTCGGGTCAGGGCTAGCTCGGGTTCGTTTTACGGGAATCCAAACCCGAGTTACCCCGGACCCGAGTTACCCCGGATCAATCGGGCGCCCAAGTCGTGTCGACCAGCGGCGACCCCAGCGCGGGCGTTCAAGGCTGAACGCCGCCGGCGACCCAGAATCGATCGATGTTGAACGAGCGGACGTTGCGGCAGCGGCCGATCGTTCAAGGTTGAACGATCCCTGCGGTGTCAAAAACCAACGCCAGGGTCGGCACGACACGAACCTGCCGTAGACTCAGGTCGGGCCTGTCCCCCTACAAAGGAATCTTCTGCGAACAAAAACAGAAGATACACCGAAGATGCCCCAAACTTGGCAAACATTGCTAAAAGAATAGTCCCCAGACTATTGGTTGATTCTTTTCCGATTAGTTTGGGGTTATTATTCATTTGTCGTTGAAAATCCCCCTGTAGGGCGACAGGCCCGACTTAAGCCTAGACTCGGCGCGCCCCCAACATACTTCTACTATGTGTTCGTCGCCCCCCCAGGGGCGACGCGCGCACCGAGAACTCTTATAGTGAGTGCGTCGTGGCGAGCGCTTTCTGGCCACACCGCTCGAGAAACGATATGCTACAATATTTGGTATACTATATGTTCGGGTCGGGCGCGCGCCTCCAAGGCGGACATATAGTATCAGTCTGTCTCTGTGCGTCCCATAGACGACGGCCCTGCGTCGGAAGACCTTGAACAGGTAGTTAGACGGGGGGCCGCCATGGGCTGCGATCCAAGGGGCCCAGCATCCCTCACCGCGCACTCGACTAATCAGGCAGAAGCCTTACGGTTGAGTGGGGCATGTCCCTCCACGGGAGGAATATTCAAAATCGTCAAAGACAACATTTGGAGACGGTTCTAATATTTTTGAGTACTGTTTCAAACATTTTTTGATTATCTTCATGTTCCCTCCGAAACCCGTCTGTAGGAGGACATGCCCGAGGTGACCTTGCGCATGTGCTGGGGGCGATGTGCCAAATCCGCGGCCAGAATTTGCCACAGGACCGCCCGGAGGGGCCCATGCTCCGGGGCCCCAGGGCGCAGCGGCTGTGCCTGGACGCCTCGGGCCTCTCCCCGAGGGCCCGAGGATGTCCACGCCGCAGGTCCGCTGCCTCCCAGGACGTCGTTTCCCCAGGCTGCCGACGTCTGCGAGTTCCCTCCGGTGTCACCCCCGGCGGCCCGTCGCTGGTTACAGCCATCGTGTGTTGACCAGTGCGCCTCGTGTAGACGCCTTCTCTTGTTCCACCAGGATGTTTTGCACATGCGCATTGCTCCTCACGAGAAGTCCCAGCCTGGAAACTCCCCGCTGGATGCCTTTGTCTGCGTTTCGTGGCCACGGGCTGTGAATATGGGGTGATCGGTGGACGGTTGGCGCGGTGCGTGTGTCTTTATTTGCCGCTAGTCGGTTGCCATCCGTTGCCGCTTATTCCTGCGAATCCGCCATCGTCGTGACAACGGTATGCTCCATAACAACAAACTTACAACATGGTGTGGCACCCTATGGCGAGAGTTCGACCCACGTCTGGGCGCACGTGTCTCGAGCGCTTGGCCCTCAGATGGCTGGGGTGTGTGACGCCCCTCCGCGTGTATGTATCTTGCGCGTGGCCTCCACACGTGTCCCGCGTGGGAATCCAACCGCGCGCGTTTCCAGCCTCTCGTCGCCGACTGCTGCGTTCCATGCCGCTAGCGACCCTGGCGACATGTGTGGTCGATCCCGCCAGCGATCCTTCTCTTGTTCCTCGTTTTGCCGATCTGCGCGGGCCCTCGCACACTCCCCCCCCCCTGGAGCAGATCTTGGCTGTGTTGGGCGCCTCGTCCGAGCAGGCAGAGTCTCCCCCACAGCACGCACCGTTGCAAACCGTCGGCCGCGTGGCGCACGCGCGCGCGCGCCTGCGCGCGCGCGCGCCTCCCGAGGACGGTGCGGCCGTCCGACTTTGTCGAGGCGGTGCGCGTGTGCGCGGCGTGCCGCTGCGAGCCGCTGCTGCGCGACAAGGCCCCAGCCGCACCCCGGGGGCAGCGCGGGGGCCGGCCTCCTCCTCGGAGGGGGCGGGCCCAGGAGGGGCCTCCTCCTCCTCCTCCTCCTCCTCCTCCTCCTCCTCCTCCTCCTCCTCTCCCCTCCTCCTCCTCCTCCTCCTCCTCCTCCTCCTCCTCCTCCTCCTCCTCCTCCCCCTCCCCTCCTCCTCCTCCCCTCCTCCTCCCCTCCTCCTGCCCCTCCTGCTCCTCCTCCCCCTCCTCCCCCTCCTGCTCCTCCTCCCCCTCCTCCCCCTCCTCCCCCTCCTCCTCCTCCTCCTCCTCTTCCTCCTCCTCCTCCCCCTCCTCCCTCCTCCTCCTCCTCCTCCTCCTCCTCCTCCTCCTCCTCCTCCTCCTCCTCCTTCTCCTCCTGCTCCCCCTCCTCCTCCTCCCCCTCCTCCTCCCCCTCTCCTCCCCTCCTGCTCCTCCTCCTTCCTCCTCCTCCTCCCTCCTCCTCCTCCTCCTCCTCCTCCTCCCTCCTCCTCCTCCTCCTCCTCCTCCCTCCTCCTCCTCCTCCTCCTCCTCCTCCTCCTCCCTCCTCCTCCTCCTCCTCCTCCTCCTCCTCCTCCTCCTCCTCCTCCTCCTCCTCCTTTCGCTGACGCTCCCGCACCAAAATTCAATGGACGGCCTGGGGTCTCAGGGTTGGGTTTCTGGGGGAAGGCTTCTTGTGGACTGGCCTCCACTATTCTAAGCCGCTCGAGGCGCAAAGTTCTTATGCCCCAGCGCCTTACTTTGCTTTGGGGCATAGAAACTGATATGGCTGCTGATGGTCCCTCTCCCCCATCCCCGTGCCGCCACAGCGGAACTTGACGCAGCAGCGCTTTCGGTTCAGCCCCGGCTGTGGCGACGCCAGAGGCAGGACGACGACGACGACGACGACGTCGAGTTCGACGACGACGACGAGGAAGTCGAGGGCGAGGACGAAGACGACGGCGACGACGTCGTTCTGTTGTCAACGATTCGGCCTTTCCGGAAGGGTCGCCAGGCTTTGGCATCGTCAGAGACGGTCTTCTTCTTCCTCCTCTTCCCCCTCCCTCCCCTTCTACGCAAAGTCAGCCGGCAAGTGCGACTCATCGCGCCAGCGCCAATGAGACTTGCAAGCCGAGACCAGATCCAGATGCAATCTCTGGGCCGGACGAGCCAAATCAATAGGACGAACCAAACCAACCACAGCCAGTAGAGCAAGCGCGGCAGACCAACCCGGCGAACAAACCAGACCAACCAGACGAACCAGACCAGACAGACCAACCAGACCAACCAGATCAGCCCGACCAAGCAGACCAGCCAGACTAACCAACCAGACCAGACCAGCCTGACCAGCTGACCAGGCCCGAAAGAAAAGACCAGACCAGCCAGACGAACCAGTCCAGCCAGACCAGACCAGGCCAGCCAGACCAACCTGACCAGCCAGACCAATCAACCAGACCAGACCCGCCAGACGAATCGGACAAGCCAGACCAACCAATCAGACCAACCAGATCGACCAGCCAGACCAACCAGACAAGGCAGACCAACCACCATCGTCCTCGTCGTGGTCGTCGTGGTCGTGGTCGCAGCCCTGTCGGCGTATCCATTTTTATGACGACAGGTTCATTTTGGGAAGCAAGATTCAGCTGAAGTTGTCGTGGCCGTCGTCTTCCCGGTCGTCGTCGTCGTCGTCGTCGCGGCTGGTCTTGGTCGCGGTCGCAGACCTGTCGGAGTATAAGTTTTTATGGAGACTGGCTCAGACGGCCCCAAGACGGCCCAAGAGGCCCCCAAGACGGCCAAAGAGGGCTCCAAGACGGCACCAAGAGGGGCGCAAGACCAGCGAAACCAACCAGACCAGCCAGACCAACCAGACCAGCCAGACCAGCCAGACCAACCAACCAGATCAGACCAGCCTGACCAGCTGACCAGGCCAGGCAGACCAGACCAGATTACGTAGACCAGCCAGACGAACCAGTCAAGCCAGACCAGACCAGGCCAGCCGGACCAGTCAGACGAACGGGACCAGCCAGACCAATCAACCAGACCAACCAGTTCGACCAGCCAGACCCACCAGACCAGCCAGACCGACCGGACCAGACAAGCCAGACCAACCACCATCGCCCTCGTCGTGGTCGTCGTGGTCGTGGTCGCAGCCCTGTCTGCGTATCCGTTTTTATGACGACAGGTTCACTTCTTTGGAAGCAGGATTCAGCTGAAGTCGCCGTGGTCGTCGTCTTCCCGGTCGTCGTCGTCGTCGCGGCCGTCCTGGTCGGGGTCGCAGCCCTGTCGGAGTATATCTTTTTATGGAGACGGGCTCAGACGGCCCCAAGACGGCCCAAGAGGCCCCCAAAACGACCCAAGAGGCAACCGAGAGATCCGCCACCGCGCTTGCAGCGGTAGGTGTGTCTCAGGTCCAGTCGTCGTGGTCCCAGACGTTCGTGCTGCAACCTCCCCTAAACCACTCGCGCCCGAAGCCTAAGGATAAAGCTGCAAGACGAAGCTCAAACCAGACCCACCAGGCCAGCCAGACCAGATGCAAAAAAAACTGCAATGCACAAACAACTGCAATGCAAAAAAAACAGTTTTCGTGTCGTCGTGGTCCCAGACGTTCGTGCTGCAACCTACCCTGAACCACTCTCGCCCGAAACCTAAGCTAAAGCTGCAAGACGAAGCTCAAACCAGACCCACCAGGCCAGCCAGACCAGATGCAAAAAAAAACTGCAATGCACAAACAACTGCAATGCAAAAAAACAGTTTTCGTGTCGTCGTGGTCCAAGACGTTCGTGCTGCAACCTCCCCTAAACCACTCTCGCCCGAATCCCAAGCTAAGGCTGAAAGACGAGGCTCAAACCAGACCAACCAGACCAGCCAGACCAGATGCAAAAAAAATTGCAATGCAAAAAAACTGTCGCTGTTCGGTGGTGGTGGTAGTGGTTGCCTCCCCGGACCTCCCCTAAACCACTCTCGCCTGAATCCTAAGCTAAAGCCGCACCAGGCACAAACCAGATGCAAAAAAAACTGCTTTTCGGTGGTGGTGATAAAGGTTGTCGCTGCCTCCCGGGACCTCCCCTAAACCACTCTCGCCTGAATCCTAAGCTAAAGCCTCAGCACCAGGCTCAACCAGACCACCGAGACCAGCCAGACCAGATGCAAAAAAAACTGCAATGTAAAAAAAACTGCAATGCAAAAAAAACTGCAATGCAAACAATAACTGCTTTTCGGTGGTGGTAGTGGTTGTCGCGGCCTCCCTGGACCTCCCCTAAACCACACTCGCCTGAATCCTAAGCTAAAGCCTAAGCACCAGGCTCAACCAGACCACCGAGACCAGCCAGTCCAGATGCAAAAAAAACTGCAATGCAAACAAAAACTGCAGTGCAAAAAAACTGAAATGAAAAAAACTGCCTTTCGGTGGTAGTGGTTGTCGCTGCCTCCCCGGACCTCCTCTAAACCACTCTCGCCTGAATCCTAAGCTAAAGCCTCAGCACCAGGCTCAACCAGACCAGCCAGACCAGATGGAAACAAAAATAACTGCAATATAAAAAAACTGCAATGCAAAAAAACTGCAATGCAAAAAAAAACTGCTTTTCGGTGGTGGTAGTGGTTGTCGCTGCCTCCCCGGACTTCACCTAAACCACTCTCGCTTGAATCCTAAGCTAAAGCCTTAGCACCAAGCTCAAACCAGACCAGCCAGACCAGCCAGACCAGATGCAAAAAAAATTGCAATGCAAAAAAAACTGCAGTGCAGCAAAGACTACAATGCAACAAACAACAAAAAACTGCAATGCTTTTCGGAAGGGGTAGTGGTTGCCGCTGCCTCCCCGGACTTCCCCTGAACCACTCTCGCCTGAATCCTAAGCTAAAGCCTCAGCACCAGGCTCAACCAGACCACCGAGATCAGCCAGACCAGATGCAAAAAAATCTGCAATGTAAAAAAACTGCAATGCAAAAAAAACTGCAATGCAAACAATAACTGCTTTTCGGTGGTGGTAGTGGTTGTCGCGGCCTCCCTGGACCTCCCCTAAACCACTCTCGCCTGAATCCTAAGCTAAAGCCTCAGCACCAGGCTCAACCACACCACCGAGACCAGCCAGACCAGATGCAACAAAAAACTGCAATGCAAAAAAAACTGCAGTGCAAAAAAAACTGCATTGAAAAAAAACTGCTTTTCGGTGGTAGTGGCTGTCGCTGCCCTCCCGGGACCTCCCCTGAACCACTCTCGCCTGAATTTTAAGCTAAAGCCTCAGCACCAGGCTCAACCAGACCACCCAGACCAGCCAGACCAGATGGAAACAAAAATAACTGCAATGTAAAAAAAACTGCAATGCAAAAAAAACTGCAATGACAAAAAAAACTGCTTTTCGGTGGTGGTAGTGGTTGTCGCTGCCTCCCCGGACTTCCCCTAAACCACTCTCGCTTGAATCCTAAGCTAAAGCCTTAGCACCAAGCTCAAACCAGACCAGCCAGACCAGCCAGGCCAGATGCAAAAAAAATGCAATGCAAAAACAACTGCAGTGCAACAAAAACTGCAATGCAAAAAAATGCAATGCAACACATTCTGCTTTTCGGTAGGGGTAGTGGTTGTTGCTGCCTCCCCGGACCTCCCCTAAACCACTCTCGCCTGAATCCTAAGCTAAAGCCTCAGCACCAGGCTCAAACCAGACCAACCAGACCAGCCAGACCAGCCAGAGCACTCAGACCAGATGCAACTCCGACCAGCTTGTTCTTTGGAAGCTTGGCGTCCCGCCGTGCGCTAAACGGCTGAGAACTTGATCATCGCTCGGACGTGTGCATATTTTTTTGTTTTGTGGGGGCGAAGGTCCTCGATGCGCATGCTGAGATCATCGGGCAAAAACACGCACGAGACCGAAAAAGGCACGATGAATGGACGCCCGAGCGATGGCAAGGTTGAGGATTTGGAGTCGGCAAGGTCGAGGATTTGGAGATTTTTTGGGGTTCTGAGGTGGCAAAGCTTTGGTCCTTGTCAGCAAGAGGGGGGGGTCGAGGTTCTGGTCTCGAGCGTGAGTTCTGTTGCCTTGTCCCGTCGCCTGGGGCAGCTTTCTGGACCCAGCGCTTTCACAAAGCTCTTCTGGGGCGAAAACATGGAATACACCAGATGGAACCTGGGAGGGGTCTGGGTACCAGTAATGAGTTTGAGCGGAATTGCGCTCTGGACAGCGTCGTCGGCGTCGTCGTCGTCGTAGGCGTAGACCTTAGTGGGCCCTGGGAACGACAGGGCCGTTTTTTTACTGGATCCGTTTTGCCGTTTTCTTGCCGGTTCCGATGCCGTTTTTTTACCGGTTCCGTCGCCGTTGTTTGACTTGTTCCGGCTCCGGTTCCAATCCTGGAGCCGTGTTTTTTGCCGTTTCCGGTCGCCGTTTTTTTTTGCCGTTTCCATTTTCAATGGGCATTTTTCTGGAAACGGTGAAAAAACAGGCCTGCCGTTTCCGGGGCCCACAGAGGCGTAGACGTAGCCGTAGGTTTAGTAGTATAATCCCCCTGGACCCCCTCTCGCGAGCACCAGTTTTTTCATCACGAGCAGTGGTGTGTGTGTGTGTGTGTGTGTGTGTCGGACGGCCCCGGGTATCCTGGCGAGGGCCCCCAGAGGCGGGAAGCAGTCCGAAGCCGTCCGTGGTGCTTTCTTCGCAGCGCAGAGGGGGGTGCTCAGGTGGCCAAGTACGGGAGCTCCTGTTCGGCCCACAGAGATTCTCAAATGATTGTTTGGTGGGATTTCGTCGGAGTCAGTGGGTTCTTCCGTGGGCGCTTGGCTGGTTCTGGTGGGATTCACAGGGGTCGCAGGTGAGTGTGAGTGGGATCCAGTGGCTGTTGTGTGGGCCACTGGATCTGACTACCTAGGCGCTCGTGCGACGACCCGAGGCTCCCATGCCTGGCCACCTCAAGGGTTCGGAAGCCGGGCGAGGGCTGCTAAATCCGTGGCTGCTAAAATCGACCTCCGGGAAGTTGTCTTCTTCCTCCCGGGCAGAAGCCCGTCGACTGTTTCGCGTGCCGCGCCTCATTCCGGGGAGTTGCTTTTTCCTTCCGGGAGGGCCGTTTCAGCAGCCACGGTGTTAGCAGCCCTCGCCCAGCTTCCGGAGTGTGCCCGAGGGCGAGGGCCTCCCCCCGCTCCCCTCGGCAGGTCTCCTTCGACGCCCACCTCGCGGGCGCGGGGGCCGGCGTGTGCCTCGCCGCGGTCCCGTGCGCCGGGCCGGCCAGCCTCGAAGGACCAGGGGTGGGGGAACTGACGTTCGATGCACGATGCATCGTCGATGCGGCGCGATCCTCCGACCTCCGACCCCATCTGCAGTCGGGGCGCTGAAGAAGGAACCATTTTCGTTTGGGAGGGGCTCGGTGTTCCTTGCTTGTCTCGCAGCTCGCCTCAGGCCATCCTGAGGTTTTCCATCGGAAGTCGAAGTGTAACTTGTGGGAAGATGGGGTCTCGTTTCATTAGGTCAACGGCCCGACGGTACTCGGACCCCATCAGTCCAGCAGTGGCGAAGCGTCCCGGCGTGCCTATAGCCCTACCAAACAATGTTCTAAGAACCTTCTGTGGTTCCCACGAAATGTTCTTAGAACATTTCTGGTTGGGAAATGTCTTACTTTATCACATCGGGTGTATGTTCTAAGAACATCGTTTCGTCCTTAGAACATTTGTGGGTTCTAAGAAAATTTCTGGTAGGACTATAGGAATGCCCGGACGGTCGGTCCCTGTGAAGTCGGGCATGTCCTTCCACAGGAGGAATATTCAGAGATAGTCAAGAAACAGTCTGGGGGCGATTATCCTTCTACGATTTGAAACTGGTTGGGAATGTGGTTTGACCGTGTTTCATTATGTTTCCAAGATCCGCCCGTAGGAGGACATGCCCGACCTAAAACCAAAAGGTACCGATGCTGCTACTCCCCAGACATCTCATGGGGTGCGTTCTGACCAGAAATCTCGAGGTGACGACAGCGGTGGGGACGAGGGCCTCCCAGGAGGCCCCCAAAAAGGCGAACACGGACGAAGGGCAGCGGTGGTATCAGGACCATTTTGTTCCTCCTCCGAAGGGGCTCCGTGGTCGTCGTCCGTCCGAGGTTCCCAGGCCCCGTCGGGTCACCTCCTCCTTCTCCTCCTCCTCCTCCTTTCCCTTCACCTCTTCCTCCTCCTCCTCCTCTTCCCTCCTCCTCCTCCTCTTCCCTCCTCCTCCTCTTCCCTCCACAATTACACAATATGAAAATACTCTCCCACTTCCCCTGATGGCGTCCCGAAGATGGCCGACCCCCCCCGCGTATTGTTTTTTATACAGGATTCCCAGGGAACGGGTTTTCGCCTGCGTTTTTTCCAAAATGCTGCTCTCGCTGAGGCGCCGGCCTCATTTCTGCTCCCGAATCGTTCCGAATCGTGCTCCCTCTGCAGCGTGGGCCTCATTTTCGGATCGGTGTTTGGCCTCCGTCGTTCAGGATGGCGTTCTCGCCCCAGCGCGGGCCTCTTTCTCGCGCGCCCATCCGCCCGCCACCACCGCGCCGCACCACCACCACCACCACCACCACCACCACCACCACCACCACCCACCACCACACCACCACCACCACCACCACACCACCACCACCACCACCACCACCACCACCACCACCACCACCACCCACCACCACCACCACGCACACACGCACGCACGCACGCGCACCACCACCACCCACTACGCACGCGCGCGCGGAGCCACAGGTCCGCTACGACACGCGTCCGCGGATAGAGAAAATCAGCGCCATGGTAAGGGATGGGAGGGAGGGGTAGGACGTCAGATATGACGCGAGCGCACCTAGCTTGTCCTTCTCCCCCTCCCCCTTCTCCTCCTACTCCTCCTCCCCCTCCCCCTCCTCCTCCTCCTCCTACTCCTCCTCCCCCTCCTCCTTCTCATCCTCCTCCTCCACCTCCAACAAGAGATGCTGCGGCGAGGGGCTGCTGGCTGTCGTGGGCATCACCCGGGGCCCCCGCCCTGGCGCCTTGCGTGAGCGTCAGAACCCCCTCGGGGGGGGGGCCTTGCGCCGGGCCGCGGGGCCCTCAGGGAGTGTCTCGGGAGGCGGACGGTCGGCCCCGAGGGGCGGGGGCCAGGACCTCCTCCTCTTCCTCCTCCTCCTCCTCCTCCTCCTCCTTCTCCTCCTCCTCCTCCTCCTCCTCCTCCTCCTCCTCCTCCTCCTCCTCCTCCTCCCCCTCCTCCCCCTCCTTCCCCTCCCCCTCCTCCACCACCTCCTCCTCCTCCTCCGCCTCCTCCTCCTCCTCCTCCTCCTTCTCCTCCTCCTCTAGGGGTCTGCGCCGTGGAAAGATCGGCGCCCGGTGGCTGGGTGACCGCCGGCCTTTTATCTTGTTCGACGCAAAAGGGGATCCAGCGACAAGGGGGAAATCCAGAGACCCAACGTATCGAAACAATCAAGACGGAGTTTTTGTTTAGTTTTCGGCCCTATAGGGGCCCCCGCCGGGCCCCAGGACAGTCAAAAAACGCGTCAGGATGAAAAGCATGTCTCTGGGAATGGGTCGAGATATTTTCTGCTGACTCACTAGCGACCGCGTATTGAGAATTAGCCTGGCGAAGGACCCAACCATATGCAGATGTGAGTAATGCTGGTGTGAGTACCGTCTTCGGTGGATCTCCCTATGGGGCCACGAACCGTTTGAGGGGTGTGCCGAAATGGGTGTGGGGGCGGCATGCGAACGTTGCCACTGGGGCCTTCGGTGGAGCTCCTTATGGGGCCACGAAACGTGTGAGGGGTGCACCGAAGTTGGTGTGGGGGCGGCATGCGAACGCAGCCACTGGGGCCTTCGGTGGAGCTCCCTGTGGGGCCACGAAACGTGTGAGGGGTGTGCCGAAATGGGTGTGGGGGCGGCATGCGAACGCAGCCACTGGGGCCTTCGGTGGAGCTCCTTATGGGGCCACGAAACGTGTGAGGGGTGCACCGAAGTTGGTGTGGGGGCGGCATGCGAACGCAGCCACTGGGGCCTTCGGTGGAGCTCCCTATGGGGCCACGAAACGTGTGAGGGGTGTGCCGAAATGGGTGGTGGGGAGGCATGCGAACGCAACGCAGCCACTGGGGCCTTCGGTGGAGCTCCCTATGGGGCCACGAAACGTGTGAGGGGTGTGCCAAATGGGTGGTGGGGAGGCATGCGAACCCTGCCACTGGAGCCTTCGGTGGAGCTCCCTATGGCCACGAAACGTGTGAGGGGTGTGCCGAATGGGTGGTGGGGATGGATGCGAATGATGAGATGATGCCGAATGATGATGATGACGATGATGATGATGATGATGATGATGATGATGATGATGATGATGATGATGACGATGATGATGATGATGATGATCATGATGATGATGATGATGATGATGATGATGATGGGAGGAGGGAGGGGGGGGGAGGAAGAGGAGGTGAGGAACGCGGGGCGCCGTCTCTTCAAAACGAGGACCCAACACCACAGGATGGTTGGGAAAAATCAGGACCTCGGGACAGACCCATTCTCAGAAGATGAAAAGTCTGGTTGACCCAAAAGGGGATCCAGCACAAGGGGGTGGTGCAATGGATTGGGTGCGATAGACTTGCGGGGTTGCCACCGAGTTGGGGCGTGCAAAACATTTCGGTGCGCAGATGTATGGCCAACTCTCTTGACGCGTCGGCGTATCACAGGTGGGGCCACGAGGTGGGTGCCCCCAGGAGGTATCTTGTATTTGTCGTCCAAAAATCCCCCTGTAGGAGGACATGCCCGACTTAGATGACTGTCGGCGCGCCGCCTGGAGGGTGGCCGTCCCAGAGAGCGCGACGGGCTCGGTGCCCTGCTGCAGCGCTGCCCGAGCCCCCCCGTCGGACGCGGCACGCGTGCGCGGGCCAGCCGGCTTCTTTGCGACGTCCCAGACAAGGAGGTCCTGGACAGAATTCAAGCAGTGGCGAAGCGTCCCGGCTCGCCTATAGCCCCACCAAGCAATGTTCTTAGAACATTTCTGGTTGGGATTGTCTTGTTTCAACACATCGGGTTTATGTTCTAAGAGCATTATCTTTGTTCTTAGAACATTTTTGGCCTCTGAGAACTAACATTCCGTGGTATGACTATAGGAATGTCGGGACCGTAGGTCCCTGCTCAAAGAATGCAGGGGGGGGGGGCGCGCATCAAGAACCCATGTGCTTTTCGTCAGGGCAGCCGGTTCCAGGGGGGGAGGAGGAGGAGGAGGAGAGGAGGAGGAGGAGGAGGAGGAGGAGGGCATCTGCTTTTCGTCATGGGTTTTTCTTCGCTCCGCTCGCTGCGCGGTGACTTCCCGCGGCCGCTGAAGGAGCTGCTGCGTTCAGGGTGCTCTGGGCTTCCTCTCTTCCTCCTTCTCCTCCTCCTCCTCCTCCTCCTCCTCCTCATCATCCAACTCCTCCTCCTCCTCCTCCTCCTTCTTCTCCCGCTCTGCCTCGCGAGGAGCCTCTGGCCTCGGCACCCCCTTTGCCCGCCTCTCGCGCGCGGCGCCGCCCGACGCAGGCGCACCTCGCGCGCGGGTTTTCAGGGTTGGGTGTCTTGCAAGGGTTTCTTGCGGCCGCGCCCGCGCTGTACTCAAGGGAAGAACTGCACCAGAGAGAACCCAACTCAGTGGATGGTTTGATCGATGGCGAGCTCGATCGTGGGATTCCGAAGTCGGCCCAGAACCAGAGACCGGGAACCTGGGAACCCGGGACCGGGAACCCGGGCCGGCCCGGAACGAATAACCAGGTTCCCAGGAAACCGGAACCGGGAACCATGGAACCCAGTCGGCTATCAAAATCGGCAGGAAATTTTCGCTTATTCTTTCAGTATCCTCTACGACCCCTTCAGTGCAAGCATTGATTGGGGAACAAAGCACCCGGACGCGGTAATTGGTTTTTATACTGAACGGTCTTGGGAATTTTTTGCGAGGGTTTCTATCGGCCGCGTCCGCAGCGTGACTTGGCATCGCTCGGACGTGTGCATGTTTTCCATGGCGAGGACCATCGAGGTGCATCCTACAGGATCACCGAGCAAAAAAAACACGCACGATACCGAAAAACAAGGACCGACCAGAACGCTGTTTAGCCTGGTGTCTGGCCCTCGTTCGTATTGGCTCAGTCTTCGTTGTTGCCCCGCCTCTTTTATTTCCACTGTTGACCACCACGCCCCGTTCCGTCGCTCGTTTCGTGTTTGCACCGGCTTCGTTTTCAAACGTTTGTTTTATTGCGGGCCTCGTTTCGCTATCGGGGGTGGAAAAGAGGGGGGTGATGACAAGGGGGGGGTGGATATGATGGCGGGGGCCATGATATTTCCTCAGATTTCATGGCGCCTCTTCTTATTTTATTACGTCCCTTGCCCCCCCACTGGGCCGCGCACATGCCGCCGGTCATGATTTGCACCCCCGCCTCTTGGACACCCCCCTCCTGGCCGCTCCCGATTCTCGTATTCAGCGCCCTTTCGTTGCAGACATCGGTGTGGCCGGTCCTCGTGGACGTCCCAGCGGCGGCCAGGCGAGGCCGCCGCAGCTCCGGGGCGCCCGCGGTCGCGGGGCCCTGGGGGGGGGGGCCCTGCGCGGTGCCGCCCACGGCACCGCGACGGGCGACCGCCGGCACGGGCGACCTCTCCCCGACCCTTTCCGATCTTCCTCGATACGTCGTCGGCATCGTCGTCGTCGTCGTCGTCGTCGTCGTCGTCGTCGTCGATCTGGAGGGGCCAGGTCCATGCGTGGGCGCTTCTGCCCACCCCAGGGTAGCGCTCGCTGCCCGGGCCAGGCCGCCCCCCTCCCTCGGAGGCCGCGTATTCTGGGGGCGATAGATTGTCAGCCACGCGCAGAAGGGGGTGTGGGGAGGGGGGAGGGCTTCTTATAGAAGCACCCCTGCTATTCTTAGAGGGCGCTGACGTTTTATCTGTAGATGTGAGGCCGGCGCCTTCGAAGAAGCAGCCCTGCTTCTAAGAAGCCCTCCCCCTCTCAGCACCCAAATAATCTTCTAAGAACCAGCCTCCTTCTAAGAAGCCCTCCCCCCTTCCGTCTAAGAAGCCCTCCCCCCTCCTTCTAAGAGGCCCTCCCCCCTCCCAGCACCCCCTTTGCGCGCGCCACCAAAAATGAGGTGGGGCAGCGAGGGCTGCAGAAAAGAGGCAGTTTAGGACGCCCGAGGGGCCCCTCTGGGGCCCTACAAGGAGCCTTCAGGGCCCCTCAAAAGGGCACCTCTCTCCCCCCCCCCCCCACTATCGCCCCCCATTCATTCGCGCCGAACCCCTGGGTAGCGCTAACGATCGTACTGCAGGCGGTGGCCTGGACAACACCCCCACTACATGCCGTGGTGCACACAGGCGATCGATGCGCCAGAGGCGCAAACGCACCCTGACGGGTGCACGCCGCGGCCGCCGTTACCGTTACCTTCCCGCCCGGACCCTCGCCCCTTGCCCACGAACGACAAAAAGGTCTCTACCGAGTGAGTCCATACGGAGTACTCGGTCTCTGTCTGGGCTTCCTCCGTCCGGTGCCAGGCTCTCGTGGTACGGTGCTAAGAATCCATACGGAGCACGGAGCGAGTACATGCGGAGTGCTCGGTCTTCGTCTGGACTTCCTCCGTCTGGACTGAGCCGCTCCTGAGTCGATTCTGGGCACTGCTCCAGGCATAACACAATGTTGCGATCTCGGCGTTTTTATTTCCCCGAGCCAGGCGTTTTCGCACTTTTGGGGGCCACGGAGCCCTCACAGCTCGAGCTTCGACGAGTATCAACCTCACGCCTCCGCTGGGAGTCCATCAGCGTGATATTCCTTTCGCTTTCGTCTGAAGACTTGATTTTTCTTCGGCAGTGACCCGCTGATGGGCCCCCACGGCGACTTGCGATTGATATTGTTCTTGAGTCGAACCCCAAAAGACGATCTGTGAGGCTTGTGATTGATACGCCTTTCCCCTCCCGATTCTCGGAGGGTGTGGAGAAAGAGTCAGAGATCGAGGAGGATCGGGGTTCGAGGAACGAGGAGGATCGTTGATCGGACCAGGAGGAAAGTCTGGGATCCAGGGGCATCGAGGGACATCGCGGAGCCCCCAGATGCCCTGAGATGCGTCGTGGCGACAGACGCTGCAACACCACGAAACATCAGGACCAGAGCCTCGAGCCTGTCTTTCCGCGACATGTTTCGTGCCGAGCCGATCTGTGCTGGTCCTGGGGGGCCCGGAACGGACGGGGACGCCTTGGGACGCCAGGATCCATTGCGAGGATCGAGGATTGATTTTTCTGTTTTGATGCCTCGAGTAGCAGGGCTCGACTTAAACGCTGTTTTGCTGGACTTCGACTGTGCTTTGTGTTTCGTTGTGGCAGGGAGGTACAGGAAAACAGGTAGCGCAAAACGAACAGCAACAAAAACAAACACAACACGAACAATAATAGGAGAGTTGATACAGTCCACCGAGGTACAAGATCGAGGTCGGTTTGGGGAGACTGCCCTTATGATCTTCGTGCGTTTGTTGGACGTTCTTGTGCACCCTGGGGACGGTACCCTCGGATGCTCTGTGCGTTCAAGCCAGCGGATGGTCTCGTGTTCTTGAGCGATGTTCTTCAGGCCCAGGTCCGATTGTATTATTGGGGCGGGCATAAACCCAATCTATTTGATCCGCCTTGCTACTTTCTGCTTCCACCTGTGCCTACGTTGAGGGGTCCGCCTCCCTCCTCCCTCCTCCCTCCTCCTCTTTCCTTCTCCTCACTCCTCCCTCCTCCCTTCTCGCACCTCCCTCCTCCTCCTCCCTCCACCCTCTTCCCTCCTCACTCCTCCCTCCCCCTCCCGCTCCCCCTCCTCATCCTCCTCCTCCTCCTCCTTCTCCTCCACCTGCAACGTTGGCCCCCGCTCCCCGCCGGGCTGGCCGCTCAAAAACGACTCCCTCCAGGTAACAAACGGGTCCCAGTGAATGGGGCGAGGCGCCCATGGACCAGGGGCAACGATATGGGGGGTGTCCTTGAGGGATGTTTTTTCGGCCTGCAGTGGAGGCGCGCATCAAGAAACCAATTGCTTTTCGCCAAGGTACTCTGGATTTCTTCGATCCTTGCGCTGCGCGGTGACTTCCCGCGGCCGTAAAGAAATTGCTGCGTTCAGGGTGCTCCGGTGTTCCCCTGAGGTGTACCTCGCGCGCACGTTTTCAGTGTTGGGTTGATTGCGACGGTTTCTTGCGACCGCGCCCGCACTGTAGGTCCGCCTGCACCGCCTCAGGGGTCCCGACCCATTCCCCGGGACCGGTTTTTCGTCCCGAGTCGTTGGTTGACGGTCCCGAGGCCCGGTGAGGGCCCCCAGAGGCCGAAAATAGCGACAAACCTCCCGACGTGTTTTTTTCATTGCGCGAGGGGGTCTGGGCTTACCCCCACCGGAAGAGGGCTCGCGATCTGCGGCTCCGACGGCGTGTTCGGGCACCTGCTGCAGCTGGCGGTGCCCCCGACGGCGCCTCCGGCCGTGCGGCGGGAGCTGGCGCGGAGGCGCCGTTGGCAGCGCCGCCGTCCGCGCCGCGCAGAGAGGGGTCTTGGCATCGCTCGGACGTGTGCATCTACACTTATTCCTCTCCTCCTCCTCCTCCCTCCTCCTCCTCCTCCTCTTCCTCCTCCTCCTCCTCCTCCTCCTCCTCCTCCTCCTCAACACCATCACCATCACCATCACCTCATCAGCATCAGCATCAGCATCAGCATCAGCATCAGCATCAGCATTATCATCATCATCATCATCATCATCATCATCATCATCATCATCAGCATCATCATCATCATCATCATCATCATCATCATCATCATCATCATCATCATCATCATCATCATCATCATCATCATCATCATCATCATCATCATCATCATCATCTGCAGCATCATCATCAACAGCTGCATCACGATTATCATCGTCATCATCATCAGCATCGTCGTCATCATGATCACCCGTCATCATCATCATCATCATCATCAGCATGATTTGCATCAGCATCATCATCAGCAGCATCAGCATCGTCAGCATCAGCATCATCAATCTCATCAGCATCATCATCATCATCATCATCATCATCATCATCATCATCTTCATCATCATCATCATCTTCATCATCTTCATCATCATCATCATCATCATCATCATCGTCTCCTCCTCATCATCATCAGCCATTGCCAGGTCTTGTTCTTGAGAAGTGACCTACGTGCCGCGCTCTTGGAAGGGGCGCAGCGGCACGAATCCAGCTTACGTACGTCCTCAGCGCTCATGTCCCACGGAGCGGCGGCAGCGGGCAAGACGTGGGTCTGCCGCGACCGCATGTCTGAGTACGGGAACTTCATACAGTCGGCCCTGCCAGCTCAAGGGTACCCTTGTGCCCTGTGCCTCGCCACACGTGCCTTCTTGCACTCCTATGGCGATGTGGCCCCCGGAAGGGTCTTGTGTCCTCTCGCGTGTCCTGTCCGATCAAGTCCGACTGTATGGCGCAGCAAGTGCCGGCAGAGTGGAGCCTCCGCACCTGCCGAGGTGTTCAAAGGGACCTTCGGCACCATGGGAACCTCACCTGCCTGGGACGATGTGGCCCCCGATCACCCTCTTTCTTTTCTTCTATCCATGACTTCTCCATTAGCCCTGAGTCGGGCCTGTCCCTCTACATGAGGAATATTCAAAAATAGTTCGAAATTAGTATGGGGACGTTTTTTACAATATTTCTTTGCCATTTGGGAATATTATTGGAGTATGTTTATTTTCGTCGAAAATTCCCCTGTAGGGGGACAGGCCCGACCTAATATTAGCCCTTCTTCAATCGTGATGAAAATTGCAGATGCCCTCCCCATGTGCGCTCCATAGGTAACTGCATCTTTTACTCTGGTGATGCAAGGTTCCTACTACCGTTCAGTATGTACTTGAAAGATCCGAGCAGATTGTTCCACATGATGCAGGTCAGGCGTTGCCCAAACGGTGGTCCTAATATTGTTCGGTTTCGCGTTTTTGATCATGGCCATTGCGGTGCCTCTGTCTAGAGTTAGGGAGAAGGCCATCAAGCGAAGATAATTGGTCGTGGAGCCGCGCGGATGTTGTTGAACATACTGAGCCCATGCAAATATCCAAACCAGCCTGTTGCATCACGCTTATCAGTTCCATGTTGGGTCGTATGCATCGTATAATTTCCTTGGGGGGCCCAACACTTTTCAATTATTCCTGGTAATTCCCAATGTTGTAACTTCGAGCGTGCCTCAGTATCCATGGATGCCTCTGATTTTCTTCTGGACGCTGATCGGCAGGGATCTGTCTCGAGCGCTTTGATCCTCTCTTTGATCTCGTCGAGGGTTTAACATCCTATCGAAGATGTTGTTGGTGTTGGTGTTGTATTTTGTGGGTTTGATGGCCTCGATGTCTTTCTTGATAAGGGGTTCAGGTGTTCTTTGAGGATTGCGTCGAAAGTAGCCACGGTGAACGGCTCATTCGCAACATCGTCGAAGCGTTGTTGACATTGATCTTGCATTGCTTGCGTATTTCCCATTGGCTTAGTATGAGGTCTCTTCGGGTTCTTCTAACCGAGATCTGGATATGAGGGCTCTTTCTGCTCCCGAGCTCTGGGGCTCGGGAGCAGAAATAATATGTTTCCCAGGCATCGTTGCGATACGTATGAAGGGAATCGAAGTATGGGACGTAACGCACATGTAAAAAGAGGGTCTATATGATATGCGGAGATCCCCTGAACCAAAGGATATGCGGATAGAACATGGATCCGCAGAGGTTTCATACCAGGCAGCAGGGGCTCAGCGGCGCTTGCTTCGGGGGCCGCCCCGGGCAGGACTCGGCCCGAGCGGGCAGCAGGGGTGCCCTATGAGTCCTGGAGCCTTTGAGGAGCAGTTGCTTAGGCTGCGTCTTCTTGGCCTTCCCACGGCTTCAAGCGCCACATGACGGCAGCGGCAGCAGCGGTTGCTTCTCTGGGCCATGATATTCGACGTTGCGAGAGAATACATCTTCGCGAAACATTGCCCTAGGCCCCATCCACATGCGGAATACCTCGGACCGCCGCATCGATCCGTGATGGTACCGGGGGATAAGAAATTGTAACGCCGGGATCTCAGAGTCAGGCAGGCCTCGAATCGAGATTCCGGAATGCTCCGAAACGACCGCGGCGCCCGATACATCCTCCAAACCCGCCGATTCTCAGATATTTCCGATCTATATGAGGTTGTCGATATACCGTCTTGGCCAAAATGCTCGTTATGCCCCCTACTCTCCCACCCCCCCTTTCCCCCCCATACAAAGTAACGCTCCCCACCTCAGTGCGTCCCTGGCACTGCCGCAGTGCGTCCGGCACTACAGTCTTGGGGTGGGGGCTACGTTATGCCCCCTCCCGTCCTCCCCCCATGACGCCCGTCGTGGCCGCGAATAAGAAATGGGCTCTGTCGGCCCGATTCTGTCTCGATTCTGACATCGCCTCACAGAGCCGTCGTCCTCGTCGGCGTCGGCGCCGTCAGTCGGCGACGGCAAGCCGCGCCGCGCCCCGCCGCTGCGGAGCACCTGCGCGCGCGAGGTGCGCGAGCGCCTCTCGCGCCCGCGGCCTGCGCGGCTTCCGCGCGGCGGCTGACGCCGGGAGCGCCGAGGGGGCCGTCTTCGAGCAGCTGGGGTGGCGCACGGCGCGGCAGGCCGTGTGCGGGGAGGGGGCCTGTTGGCGTCCGAGCGCGTTGTCCACGACTCGCACACTGCCTACTCGCAAACGGCCGAACAAAAAAGCAGGTCTTCAGGGGAACAAGAAGTGACAAAAGCAGAAGAACTCGGAGGTCCGCGCGGATTTCTCGGATCGGCGCTGGACCCCCCTCCCTGGCGCGCGGAGCGCGCCAGGGGCGGCGCTGGAGGCGCCGCCAGGGGAGTCCAGCGCCGATCCGAGAAATCCGCGCGGACCTCGGAGTTGTTATGTTTATGTCACTTTGTGTTCCCCTAGTCTTCCTCCTTATGCCGTACATCGTAAATCCCCCGCCTCGAATCCAGGCAATTTGCGAGCAGTTGATTTGCGAGTGGTGGAACGCGCCTGTCCACTGTTGGCGTCAGAAGGGGGGGGGAATACCGATGCCGATGCCACGGGTCGTCCTGGGGAGCCTGCACCGCCCTGCGTCAGAGTGCTCCCCCACGTGAGCGTTTTTCGTTGTTGTGTTCCTTCCCAGGGTAACGCTCGTCACCCAGGCCCCCAGTGGGCTCTGGAAGCGGCAGGGCCATTTTTTCACCGAAATGTCTCTTGATAATGTAAGCGGCAACAAAAACGGCGACCGAAAACGACAAAACGGCTCTTGGATTGGAACCGCAGCTGGAACCGGAAAAACAACTGCGACAGAACGGGCAACAAAAACGGCGTCGGAATTGGCCCAAAACGGCAAAGCGAAATCGTAAAAAAACGGCCGTGTCGCTTCAAGGGCACACCAAGCCCAGGCCCACCCCCAACCCCCACCCCACCACCCGGGTTAGCGCTAATGATCGTATTAGGGGGGGGGGGCCGAACCCCCCTCGTACATGCTGTGGTGCGCACGGGCGATTGATGCGCCGGTGGCGCGGACGCATCTTAGCGAGTGCACGCCGCGGCCGCCGTTACCCTCTCGCCCTCCCCCCCCTCCCCCCCCGCAACGAAAGCCGAAACGGTCACCAGGAGAGGTACGTTGTTGTCGGCTGATGCCGGTCCAGGGTCGAGGTCTTCGGGCGTGCTCGCGGGTTCCTTGACGTTCGACCCTATGATCGGGGCGTTGCAGTTTGCTCACACCCAGGTTTTCGCCCTGGTCCGGGCCCCAGGACCACAACGGATCGATGCGGATCGATTCGATCCTTGTCAAAACATTGGTCAGAAATCTACCCCCGTGCAGGGCTCGTTCCGAGTCCTCCGATTCGATGCGGTTCGATTCGGCTTCGATGCTTTCCGCTTCCGATCCGATCCGGCTTCGGACTCCGACTTGGACTCCGATGTCTCCACGGAGGCCTGCCAGCGTGCCGATGTTGCCGACCTGAGATTTGCTGGCTCGGTGGCCGACGTCCGCCGATGCGATTCACTCCGTTCGCCGATGCGACCTCTCGGTGGCGGTCGAGGGCCCAGGGCCGTGTTGGAGCAGTGGGCGTGCCGCACGGCGCCGTGGCGGCCTACACCGACCCCTGGCAGACCAGCCCTTTTCTGTGACCCACCGCCCACCAGTCAGCGAGCGAAGAACGGTATAAAATAAACTTTTTCGCTGTCGGGGGCGCCTGTCCATGGGCGGCTGGAAAGTGTATACCCCTACGGTGCCACCGTAAGGGTATAAACTTTCCAGCCGCCCAGGGTCAGGCGCCCCCGACAGCGAAAAAGTTTATGTTATGCCGTTCTTCGCCCGTTAAACCAGACCACTCCAGCCCAACTCGAAGGCCCCAATATGCCCTCCATTCTCAGCGGGGGTGGCCGCGGGGAGCATGGAACAGAGCACGTCTGGAACCCGTACCCCTCCGCCCCACCCGAGATTTGGGTCTTCGGATTGGATTGGGGGGTGGTCTTGTAGGTAGCCACTCACCGACCCCTAGAAAGCCGTCCCCTTCCGTGACGCCCCCCTCGCCTCGCCCCGCGAGACAATTGTGTGCGCGCGGAGGGAAGCTTGCGAGGCGAGGGTCAGGAGGGGGAAAAACACGCAGACACAATTAATCGCCGACTCCCAGGAAAATATGGGAAAATATGGGAAGTGGGGGGGAAGACAAACACCCCGAAAACATGAGTAAATATGGGGACTCTGTTCATTTGTGTGTATTTATTTGTGTGTCCCAGGGTCCCTTCAGAGGGGGACGTCACGGAAGGGATGTGGCTCGCTATGGGGGAGGGGTCGGCTCCGCCGCGCCCGAGGACGTCAGGAGGTGGGCTCTTTTGGGAGCTGCCACCTGCCGTGCAGCCAGTGTGCCAGGAGGGAAAGAGACACACAGACACAATGGATCGTCGACTCCCAGGAAAAGATGGGAAAACATGGGAAGTGGTGTGGGGAAGACAGACACCCAGAAAATATGGGGATTCCTCTTATTTGTGTGTATTTATTTGTGTGTTTGTGGGCCCCTTCAGCCCGGCCCGCGTTGTTTATTTCTGTGTTTATGTGTATTTATTTGTGTTTTTGTGTGGCACGCGACGGCGCGGCCCGCAGCCCCCTGGAGGTCTACGAGGCCAACTTCTCCGGCGGCGCGGGCGGGGCGGACGCCGGCGCGCCCGCCGGCGCCTGCAGCGCGCCGGCGAGCTCGTCGCAGTCGCGGCCAGCGGCGGACGAGGCCGCGCCTGTCGGGGCCAACGTCGGGGACCTGGCATCGCTCGGACATGTGTACTTTTTCCTCGGCGAGGACCCTCGAGGACCATCCTGGACCATCGAGCAAAAGAAAAAAAACACGCGCGAAACCGACACATGCACGGGAAATGGACGTCCGAGCGACGGCAAGGGGAGGGGCGGGAGACCAGTCCCGGAAGTGGCCGTCGTCGTGCGCTGAGTATATGCTGCGGCGACTATAGGGTTCAATGGCGCCCAAGGGTTCGCGCAGCGCGCACAAGAGTGCGGGCCAGCGACCCCGAGCGCGCAAGCAGCGCCCCACAGCGCACCCACCACCGGCGCCCTGGAGGACACGGGTCCTGAGGGAGACGGGTCCTACCCACAGCGCACAACCAGCGCCCTGGAGGACACGGGTCCTGAGGGAGACGGGTCCTACGGTCTTTCGCCGGGCTCGGCTTCCTTGGGCCCTCCACGGACCCCGGGACCGTGCGAGGATTCTTCGCGACAACATATTGGTGCTGGGGGAGGCCCGGGGTCCAGGGCCCGTTCCCCTCAGGACCCGCCGCTTCGCGCGCGCCAGATGTTCCTTTGCTGGGGAGGGAGATGCGGAGTCGGGCTATCGGGGCCCTCTGCAGAGGAGACGACGAGCATGTGCACAATAATTGGTGCATGCGCAGATCATACAAGATTCCGTGCGCAATATATGGCATGCAATAGTTCGTGCGTCTCTCTTAGGGCTAGTATCATCCAGGCCCGCCGAATGGGGGCGAGCGGATGGGGTCGGAGGGTGGGGAGCTCGCCGGGCCCGGGGACCAGCAGAACATGACTCGTGATGACAAGCTGGTCCCAGGGAGTGGGTCCAGACGTCTGGAGGTCCACATCGCCATGAAAACATCTCGGCGTCGGGGGTCTGGGAGTAGATGGGGTCGGACACGCGCCGCGACACCAGTGCATCGACGATGTGGTTTCGATGTGGAGCCCGACTTTCTCCACGCCAGCGACCCCGATGCGTCGCCGACGGCGACGATGCACCGGCGATGCAGCGCGATCCTCCGCCCCCATCTACGCGGACCACATTTGGGAGGCCTAAAAATTAGGGGGGACCTTTCCTGCCGACGTGGGTTCGACGCGGATTCGACGTGAGCTCGACATAGATTGAACACGGTCCGGAGAAATTCGGCATGGGTTCGACGCGGATTCGGCAGGGATGATTGGCGCGATCGGGCGGACGAGGTCCCCCGAGGATGCAACAGTGGTAGAGTTTCGGGCTCGAGGTGTTTCGGAAGTGTTTTTAGGCCCTCTTCGTGCTTCCATCCGTGGGGTGCCTTCAGCGGCTCCGCCTCGCCGAGAGCGTTCTGGCTGTGCCCAAGTCGTCCCAGACGGCCGCCACAGAGCCGAGTGAGGGCCCGAAAGTCGGATCACGAGGATCGGGTCGGGCGAAAGGGGGGGATTGGGAAAGGGGGGGTTACGAAATTTGCTGCATGCAGCTGGTTTCGGCCTCACCGAGGGGCCCAGTCCTCGATACATGGCCGCTTCCGGCGTCGGGAAGCGCCGGGGAAATCAGCTACGTGAGCTGATTCTCAAACCCCCCCTTTGCTATCCCCCCCTTTCGCCCGACCCGAGAGGATCATTGGGTGGGCGATAGGCTCAGGGGGGGATGCATCGACCCCCAATCGCAACATTCCGATCGCCCATCACATCCAGGCACGCGCGTCGTCGCTATCGGCGGCCTGTCGGCGACCTATTGGCGATGTGTCGCCGATTTGAGCTCGATGCGTCCCCCCCTCCCAGCTCGTCGCAGTCGCGGCGGGCAGCGGGCCGACCCGACCTGCGACGTCCGCCCGCCGGGGCCCGCCCGGCAGGTTGTGCCGTCTGGTTTCTGCTCCGAGCTCCCCTCCTGCTGATCTTAAGTCGAGCCTGTCCCTCTGCAGGAGGAACATTCAAAAACGGTCAACAATTGGTCAGGGGACTATGTTTCTACTATTGTTCGACCATTTGGGAGTATGTTTCAACTATTTTTAACTTTTCCTCCTGCTAATCTTGAGTCGAGCCTGTCCCTCTGCAGGAGGAACATGCAAAAATGGTCAACAATTGGTGAGGGGACTAGGTTTCTACCAGTGTTTGACCATCTGGGAGCATGTTTTACCTATTTTTGATGTTTCGTTCAAAATCCCCCTGTAGGGGGACAGACCCGACTTAAAGCTAATCCCCCTCGTGCTCCATCGTTGATCCTTCCTCCTTATTATATCCTTCCGTCCTCCCCCTCTTCTCTCATATGCAGGGGCTCCGCCAAACGCATGTCTGTCGGCGACCGAGAGGGCGGGTGCCGAGAGTTTGGGATATACTCAGGGGGGAAAGACACACACAGACACAATTAATCGTCGACTCCCCAGAAAATATGGGAAAATATGGGAAGTGGGGGGGAAGGCAAGAACCCAGAAGATATGTGAAAAGATGGGGAATCTCTTTTGATTAGTGTGTATTTAGTTGTGTGTCCCAGTTCCCCTTCATATACGTTATGAGCGGCACGCGAAGAGATGCGAGGGAACAGTCGTGACATGATTCTCGTTGCTGTTGCTGTGTGGTTCACGCCGTGGGCCAGGGGCCCCGTCTGAGGTGCAGGAGCTGTCGCCTTGCAAAAATGGGGCGCTCGCTCGGGGAGGGGCACGTCGGTTGGGGACCTCGGATCGCAGGAGGGAGATAATGACATACCGACGCAATCCATCGTCGACTTCCCGGAGCAGATGGGAAAGCAGGAGGCGTGGGGTGGGGGGGAAGACGAACACCCCAGAGAGTAGGGGACATCCTGGGATTCGTGTGCATCTGCCCGTGTGTCCCCGGGCCCCCCCTCGAAGCGGACGTACACCGTTCACGAGGGAGGGGGTCGCGAGGACCCCCCCCCCGTTCCTGGCGGCCAGGGCTCCCTCGCCAGGCGCTGGAAGAGATGCCCCGATTGTTGCAGCCAGGCTGCGCAAAGGAAGGCCGCACGGCGCAGCGGCCCCTGCTTCGAGCGTCGCGCTGTGCCTCGTGATTGCTTGCGGCGTGGCTCCAGGCCTCCCAGATGGGGTCGGAGTGCAGGGAGGCTGGAAGAAGTGGCCAGGGCCAGCACTTTCACTCTTTCCAGCCCTGGTCGGTCTCCTTTCGGTGTTCCAGCCCTGGCGATCAAGTCCCAACTGTTTCGGGCTTGTTCCAGCCCCTGCCAGCTTTTCCTGCCATGGCCACTTCCACTTTCATTGAATTCTCAACATCCACTGTTTCAGGCTTCTCTGTAGATGGGTTCGGAGGATCGCGCCGCATCGTCGATGCATCGCCGATGCGGCTCCATGCGGAGCCCGATGTTCTTCACTCAGACGTCGCCGATGTATCGCCGACGGTGCCGACGCATCGCCAGTGCAGCGCCGATGCATCGCCGATGTATCGCCCATGCGGCGCGACGCGATCCTCCGACCCCGTCCTGTCTGACCCCATCTAGGAGGCCTCTAGTGGCTGCCTCTGGATCGCCCCTCTTCCCGAGGTGGTCGTTGACAAAGAGAGCGACGACGGCGACGCCGCTGCGCTGAATCGTGCGTCCTCCAAGGACGCGAGATGCATGTGCCATGTGGGCATATCGGGAGAGAAAACAGTATCAAAGGAGTGCCGCAGTTGGTGGCCCGTCAGCGTGTCTCCCCGTCGCTTATGTGAGAAGACAGCGCGCTTCTTCAACGGTGACCCGGTGATGTTGTTCTTGATCCCCCAGTATATGACCGTCTTGCGCATAGGTGGAGAGCACTTGTGATCCGCAGAGAGTCCGGACGGGAATGCGTCGTTCTTGAGCTTGTATGTTTTGACGTTGCGAATTCTGGCCCCCTTTGGGAAACCTTCCGTCTTGCGCTGTCAGGACTCTTTGTGGATATTGTGGGGCGGCCGTCTTCGGTGCAGTTCCTTCAGTGCTTGCCCATCCTGCCCCTCCCACATCTCCTCATCCACCTCCCTCTTCGACCTCCCTCCCCTCCCTCCTCATCCAGCAGTCCTTGCTCCCTCCCACTCATCCACCCCCGTCCTTGCTCCTGCTTTCTATGTGCTCCCGCTCTGCCTCGCTGCCAGCCGAAAGCCGCCACATCCGGGACCTCACTAAGAAACCACCTTGCATCTACCTTTTCAATATCGGTTTTGTGGCATGGACGTTGCAACAAATGCGTTGCGTCGGTGCGCGAGAGTGCGACATGTAGTTCCGGCCGCGGCGCCGCGCCCCGTTTCCTTGACAGCTGACTTCCGGCCAAGGCGTGGCGCACACTTGTCGCTCGCCGATCGTCCGCGGCGGCCTCGCGCGCGAGCGAGCGAGACGTCGTTCTCGCCCCAGTGCCGCAAGGATTTTGCCCGAGAGTGGCGGTCACGCTGCTGGCAGTGGGTGCGACGATGCTTCGGCCAGGCGTTGGAGGCGGGGCAGTGCGCGAGCATTGCGAGGCGTCGCCTTGCCCAAGTTCCGTACAGTGCAGACCCATGTCAAGAAACACCCTGCTTGCCTCCAGGGTGCCCTGGGTTTCTTGGGTTTCGATGGTGTTCCGATGGACAGCGTAACGTTCCCACCAAACATCAATGAACGCCCTGGGGTCTCAGGGTCGGGTTTCTTGTGGAAGGTTTCTTGTGCTCGGGCCCGTACTGTACACATGTCACGCGACAGTGGCGTGGGCTTGGCTCTCAGGGTCTCCGGCCACCGGCAGCGAGAGGCCGCGTGCGACGGGACGAGGTGTGGCGGCTCCTGCCCCGGATTCGCACGGAGCGGCCGCGTGGAAGGGGAACGGCCGTCTCGGCTCGGCGCATCGCTCGGTCTCGCCGCTCATCCCATGCTCGGCCGCTCGCGAGAGGGAGGAGCGGTGCTCTCGCAGAAGTGCCAGGACCGCACGCGAGCGCTTGGCGTTCGCTGGGTGGGAACCCGCGCCAGTCCCAACGATCACCAAGTTGCGCCAACCATGGTTCGAACGTCGCGAGAGGTAAGGTGGGAGTGAATGCTCAGAGGGGGCCACCCCGATTTCCACCTAATAAGATCTATAGATCAGGTCTTCTCGTGTGTGATCGCGTCGACGCTGGCGATCCGGGGGCTGAGACCCCAGCCAAAGTGTTGCCTCGGACAGTTGTTCAAATCTTGCCCGCTGTCTCGAGGTTTGCATGGACGCCAAAGCCTTAGCTTGGCTCAGATTTCCCCTCCATGTCTGGCGGCCTTCCGCGGAGCACACAGGGCGCCCCCCTTCGCAGCACAAGGGAAGGAAGCAATGCTTCCAGCGGGGCAGCAGGCCTCGCGAGTCCCGTCGTCGCCGCGCATCCTGCCGAGCGGAGAGAATGCCAGCGCTGCCGAGCCCTCACGTCGGGCATGTTCCTATGCAGGAGGAACGCTCAAAGTAGTGCAACAATACTCCGGGGGCGATTGGTTCAATTCTTTTCGATTCGTTTTGGATGGTTTGTGACTTGTTGTTTATCATGCAGGCTCCGCCTGTACGGGGACACGCCCGACCTAACCGACGCCACCCATTTCCCTCCTGGGAACCCACGCCTTGACATCGCAATGCGCGAAATCATACCGACTGCAGCACTCAAGCGGGGGCCAATGGGGGCTTCATCGACCGTCATCATCTGCTGGCCTATGGGCGGTCCCCAGGAGGGCCCAGGGAGTTTCCATGGAGCCCCCTTAGGTTGTCTCGGGCGGGAAGTCCTGCGCCCCAGAAGCGCAGGCTCCTCCCGTCATCGGCAAAGTGTGGCGCCGAACGCTCCGTGCGCCACGGGGAGTCTCGAGGAGCCCCCCCGCGGCGGCGTCGTCCGGGGCACGCTCACGCACGCGCGTCCTGCTATCCTGGCAGGTCGAGGCGCCCCGCTGCACATCTTTTTGTGGTCGTGCGCCCCTCGTCCCCCGAGCCGCCCCCCGTGGCCCTCCTCTCTCTTTGGTCGGGCCGAACGGAAGGGGGGGATTGGGAAAGGGGGGGTTACGAAATTTGCTGTATGCAGCTGGTTTCGGCCCCACCGAGGGGCCCATGCCTCGATACATAGACGCCTCCGGCGCCGGGAGGCGCCGGGAAAATCAGCTACGTGAGCTGATTCGCAACCCCCCCCTTTGCTATCCCCCCCTTTCGCCCGACCCGATTTGGGCAGGAGTTCGATTCCCGAGGAGGCGTCGGGCGTCGGGAGAGACGCTGTAACCTCGGCATCGGGGGCCTGCTCTCGGCCACGCGCGTCTCGGAGCACACCCTGGGCGATGCTTAAGAAAATTTAAGTTTTCGGCCAGAGTCTCGATTAATCTGAATGTTTCTATGTAAATCCCAAGATTTTGCTAGAACTGCTGTTTTTTTATATATATATATATATATATATATATATATATATATATCAAATTCTGAGACTCTGAATTTCTTAACCCATGATTGACTAAGCATTTCGCAGGGTGCACCCCTCGGTGCAGAACGAGAGCCCCCCCCCCCTCCCCTGGATTGGATTTCGGATGCGCGCATCGCCGAGCACCAGAGAGTACCGAAACTGGGGGGGGTGCGTGTCGGGCCGTGGGGAGGCGATGTTCGGTCGGCGCTGCGCCGGCGTGTCGGGCAGACCCTGTTTCGATACTTTCCGGGTGCTCGAGGTCATTTCTGGGATGTGGCTTTCGTGTGCGATGGGGCGAACATGGCTTCAGGGCCCGAAAAACGGCACCAGCGTGCCCCCCCTCATCTACAGTCGGGGCGCTGAAAAAGGAACCCTTTTCGTTTGGGTGGGGCTCGGTGCTCCTTATAGCTGTTTTACCTATTGCCGCAGGTTGTTCTTAGGTTTTGGATGAGCAATCGAAGTTGAACTCATGGAAAGGAAAGGGGATCGCTCCTGAATTGGGGTTCTTTACGTCAACGCCCCAATTGCATCGCCTTCCAATTAGTTCGCGCCCAAGCACACAAGAAGGGGGCGGCGCCAGGGCGGCCGGGGTGGGGGCTGCCTCTGCCCGCAGGCCTCCGCAGCAGGGCTCCCATCGGAGCCGCGGGCGGGAGGCTTGGCATCGCTCGGGCGTGTGCATCTGTGCTCCGGCGAGGACCCTCGAAGAGCATCCTGGACCATCGGGCAGCAGAGCCACGCACGAATATTAAAGATGCACGGGGAATGCATGTCCGAGCGATGGCGGGGAAGGGGGGGCGACTTTTCGCCCGCAGCAGCAAGGTGGCTCCACTCGAAGCGGCAAGGGCTTCTCAGAAGCCCCCCCCCAGCCTTCCTGGCAGCCCCCCGTGTTGGGCCACGCGCAATGGGGGGGGGCAATAACTGGGGGGGCAGCGAGGGCTGCAGAAAAAGGAGCTCATTTCGCGGCCCCTGAAGGGGTCCTTCGGGGCCTTCAGCGCCCGACAAGGGCACCTTTCTGCCCCCCCCCACCACCACCATCACCACGTTTTGGGGCTGTCTTGGGGGCCCCTGGGGCCGTCTCGGAGCGCCAGAAATTCGAAAAGCAATGATGTTTGCCCCTTTGGGCCCACGTGGAGATCCTCTTGGAGCGCCCTGGGGGCTTCTTTGGGGCCCCTTTGGCCGTCCTGGGGCCATTTGGGGTGTCTTGGAGCGTTCTTGGGGCGTCTCTGGCTGTCCTGGGGCCATTTGGGGCCGTCCGGGTCTATCGTCCCCCCATTCGCGCAAGGCGGGCGGCGCCAGGGGGGCGGGGGGCGGCCTCTGCCCGCAAGGCTGCCGCAGCAGGAGAGCCCCCCTCCCGTCGGAAGCAGGAGTGGCGGGGGGAGCGGCCTCCGCCCGCCACGTGATGCCTTTCCCCCTCCGCCTCCCCCCCTCCTCCTCCTCCTCCTCTCCTCCTCCTCCTCCTCCTCCCCTCCTCCTCCTCCTCCTCCTCCTCCTCTCCTTTTCCTCCTCCTCCTC